ACCTACCTACCTTACCTTCCTTCCTTCCTTCCTTCCTTTCACATTATTCTACTTTCTTACGTTAGATACGTTAGGACTTTAATAAAAAAAAAAAAAAGAAAAAAAAAGAAAAAGGAGTAACAAAAACTTTACACTCACCCGTTAGTTAGTTCCTTCATTCTATCCTTTTTTTTCCCTTCTTCTTCTTCTTCTTCTTCTTTTTCTTCTTCTTCTTCTTGTCTGTTTGTTTTTTTTTTTTTTCCTTTTATTCATCAAAGGAAATAGTTGTTACCTATATAATTTAGTTCTTTCATTCGAACTTCCGAAGGATGGTTATACATCCTTTATGGTTTCTTTCGTTAGTATCGATCGTACAAGTCATCGATATCCGATTTCTTACGCATCATCTTTCTATCTTCGAACTCGTAAAGCACTTAAAAAGGGAGAAGGAAGAAAGATTTTCATACGTTCGGAACAGGTTCATCGTGACGAAGCGGGATAGCGTTTGAAAAACGCGGCATACGGTGCGTAATCCATTTTCAAGTTCGCTTTCAAACGCGAACCAGATGTCCGATATCCCTCTATCAGAATACATTATTTGTTCTTTTTGTATCCTTTAACTTTTTGAAAAAATATTAAAAATACGTTAATCAAAGATTTATGATATGATAAGCATAGATAACGTTGATAAACAAACGGAACACGGCCAATTATTTTCTCAATGTTCTCTTGAAAACATGATTCAACCTAGATATTTTCCCAAGACAATCACTCTCCCTCTCTCACTCTCTCTCACTCTTGCCCTCTTTCTTTCTCTCTCTCTCTCTCTCTCTCTCTCTCTCTTTCTCTTTCCTCTCATATTTCTCATCTACATCTTTCGGAACATCGCGTTTTAAAGGCGCTTCGTCGTCTCTAATTACACCGAAACCAGGAAAGATGAGGAAGGTAGATAAGAAATTAACGTGTTTCCATTCGTAATGGAACGTTGTTTATAATAAGTAATGCCGTGCATTTATTTCGTTAACTCGGCACAAATTCCAAACGTAAGTTCGAGGATAATCTCAGCCCGAGTAATATTATAATGGATAATATCGTAACGAAGATATCTTTTAAATTCATCTTACTATGTGTGTGTGTGTGTGTATGTATGTATGTGTATATATATATATATATAACAAAACTACGTCAGCCTGTTAAATACAACTTTATCTCGAGTATCTCTAAATCTGATAATAATCTCATAATGCAATTTTTTTCTTTTGTCTTTTTTTCATTTATTTACTCTTTTTTTCTTTTTTTTTTTTTTTAATCGTGATATAATTTCGACATTATTCTAAAATCATTTAATCGTCATCAATAATACCTCCTTAGATAAATATCGAAGAAATATTGTAAATTTTGTAAAGAATGATATGAATTCGTTTCGGACATTTTTTTTCTTCCTTTATTTTTTCTTATCTTTTTTTTTCTTATTTCTCTCGTAATTTATATCATCCGACGTACGTAAAAATTTTCAATCGTCGAAATTATAATAATAACAATAATAATAATAATAATAATAATAATAATAATAATATATATATATATATCTAATACAATAAGGGATATGAGGAAATAAATAGTTTTGAGATCTTGTACGATCGTATTCTTTCGTGACTTTTACGTATGCAACGAACGTATAGCCCAAAGGTGGAAACTGACGAAGACGAAGACAACGAGAAGTTGCTTGGAGCATCGGTGCAATAAACGAAGAGAACTCGCATCTTTCTCGTATGCAGATGTTACGAGGCCCTCGAGGGATCCTCCTTCTCTACGGTCCACCTTCACTTTCTTACAAGCGTCCTGTCGGTCCAAAAGAGAAATAGAGAGAAAGGAAGACAGAGACAGACAGGCAAAGAGAAAGAGAGAAAGAGAGAGAGAGAGAGAGAGAGAGAGAATCATCGACATTCGTTCGGACCTCCCGCACGCTCGTCTTTTCGCAGTTTTATTGGTTTAACTTCACTATTTTACAAGCGATAGTGGATTAAGAGGATTAAAGGGAATCGTCCGTAGGGTAGCTCTCTCTCTCTCTCTTTCTCTCTCTCTCGCTCTATAGAGACATAAAGTTAGTGAGATACGAGGATTACCCTTCTTCTAACGAGGGACCGCTTGGCGACTTGAAGTACTCCATAGTGAGCTTCGATAAAAAGTCGATTTACACCGATGCGAGCCCGCATACTCCTGGCTTCAGATCTTGTGTCTCTCTCTCTCTCTCTCTCTCTCTCTTTCTTTCTCGTTCACTATTCCTTTAACTTCTCCGCCTCCGCTCTTTTTCTTCTTTAAAGACGATCACCTATACGCTAGTTTTCACTGCCTGGGAACTTAGAAACTTCTATATATTCCTCTCTCTCTCTCTCTCTCTCTATCTATCTATCTATCTATCTATCTATCTGTCTCTCTATCTTTCTTTCTCTTTCTCTTTGTCTTTGTCTTTGTCGTTCTCTCTACGATACCTACAAAATCTCTTGTCTCGTATTGAAAGTATCAGGTTTACGCGTCTTTTCGAGAGTACCCCTGGATACGAGCTTTCTCTTTCTCTTCTTCCTTTTTCTTTTCTTTTTTTTTTTTTTTTTATTTTTTTTTTGTTCTCTTTCTTCTTCTTCTTCTTCTTCTTCTTCTTCTTCTTCTTCTTCTTCTTCTTGTGCATGGATTAAGGCATATGGCGTTTACTAGCTCGTCGAAAGGAGACCCCCGTGGAAACTATCTCGAAGGAATTCTTCATTGAAAGATCGAATCACATCGGATCGATCGAACGTGTAGAATCTTTTTGTTTTTTTTTTTTTAATCAAATTTACAAATTTAACGTAGAATTATCAAAGTTCATTACGATTTGTAATGATGGATTATATTTTAAACGTTGAACATTTTTAACGGATCTTATTTAATTAATTTGAAATAAATTTTTATTCGTTTATTTATAATCAACGGAGTTGATTTAGAATCAAACAACACGGTCTCTGTGATAATCCTATTAGATTTCCCTTATGAATCGTTTTAACGTGGATATTATTTTGATACATTCATAGGGTCAAGTGACCCGAGTCTTTTTATCATCTTGACCCAGTTTTAAATGTACCCGAGAGAAACAGATTGGACATGTACTACGTATATCTTCTAATCACTGTGTCACGTCAAAATATAAGAGATTCGAATATTTATTAGAATACCATCGTTTATTACTCGTACACCATAATATATATGTATACACATGTAATACACACACACACACATATATATATATATATATATATATATATATATATATGTATATATGTATATATATATATATACATAATACCTATGACGGGATAATTATGCGTCCATCGCACACATTATCTTGGACTTCGTCGTTAGCCAGTGACTTACTTTATCATTAATTCGTGATGTATCATGTGCCGTCAAGTTGAGTAGTTGAGCTATAAGAGAAGTTTTATGTTAATACCTCGACGTTCCAGACAATTTTCAAACTTATTTCAAACTATAAACGCATAACATAGATGTATTATATTATAAAAGAGAAAAAGATTTCTCCGTTTTATTGAAGAACGATTAAATTTTAATGATCATCACATTCTTTCACTTTATTCACATTTCTTTTCTTTTTTCTTTCTCTTTTTTGTTTTCCATTTTCTTTCTTTAACAACTAAAGAAATTATTTAATCGCACAAATTCTCTCTGACAAACTCTCGATCATCGACGAACTATACTCGTCGCATATTTTTAAATCCTTAAAAACTATATAAATTTCTTTTAACTCGTAAAAAAAAAGAAAAAAAGAAAAGATTATTATGAAATTTACACATTCTACTGCCTTCTTTTGTATTTATAATTGTTACATTGTAAATAACGTTGTTAGGCGTTTTGTGAAAAAAAAAGAAAAAAAAAAAGAAAGAAACCAAGTAATAAGAAACAAAGCCCTTCAAAAATGTTTTGCGCCAAGCACAATATACGAAGTGAGAACCATCATACATTTCAAAAATATTAATTAGAGGTAATTATTATAAGAAAAAAAATGAAGGATATTAAAAAAAAAATGTTAATTTTGTTCGTAATAATTTTCATTAAATCGAGAAATTTATTTTCGTTTTATTTATTTATTTATTTATTTATTTTTCTTTTTCTCTTAATTTCATTTTTACTTAAAGAGGATATTTTTCAATTTTTATTTATCATCATAATCATTACTATCATTAATCTGTTCTATCACAAATGAAAAATAGTGCCGACATTTATATAAATATATTCGATGAAAAGAAAACTATTTTATTTTAAATTAATATATTTTAAATGAAAATTATTATATTTCATTTATTTATTATTAAATTATTATATTTTAATTTTAATAATAATAAATTAAAATAAATTAAATTGTTTCTACGCGCAGGCTCTTTTTTTTCTTTTTTTTTTTTTTTTTAAATTAAGACAAGGCATTTAAATATATTTTCTATAAAAAAAGAAATGAAAAAGAAAAGAGAAAATAAATTTTTCAAAGAGACTATCGCAATTTTGAACGATTAAAAAACAAAATATCATAAATCCTGAATAAATTTTGTTGATAAAATTTGTCACGAGTTTAAGATTATTCGAGTTAAAGATAATACGAGATATATAGAAATGTATTTATAAAATAGTATACGAGAGAGACGAAGATAATGTTTCTCGGGATGGAATCTGCTGCAGCATCCACAAAGTAAATGGATGTTGTGTGATCGAACCATGGACCGGCTGTTGTTTCCCCCCCCACTCTCGAATCTCAGAATTATGTCCCCTTCCCCCTTGGCCCCCACCATCGCCATCATCTTACACGAAGTTACTCGTCGTAGGTATCCCCCACTTTGCGATATCGTTCTTCCTTTATCCCCACCACCGAGCTATCCTTCCCAATCCCCTCTCCCCCCCACCACCGCCACACCGTCACTTCTACTTCCCGTTCAGTGGCGGGAGTCGTCGTTCGTCGTTGTATTCTCAGTCTGTCACCGACCGCGTAAGCGTTCGGTTCGTAAATTTTGTCTCGCTCGTTGGTGTCGTATGTCAACCTAAAAAAAAGTTTATTTTTAAAATTAATCATCGACATTCGCACAACGACTCCTTCAATTCTATGATATATCGAATGAGGGTAGAAAAAAAAATGGGGATATAGTAATTAGTGAAAGAAAATTTTACATAGTGATTCAATGGTGTGACGTTTAAGAAACACGTGCCTAATTATTGTCGATTCAAAAGTTCCTGTGTATGTGTGTGTGTATGTGTATATATATATATATATAATATATCTTTTTTGTTGAGATTAATAAAAAAAAAAAGTCAATGGATTGTTTTAACAATTATATGTGACGAAAGTTAAAACGAGAAAGGATAAAAGACAAAAAGGAAGAAAAGAAAGGGAAACGTGTTTATCTCGTGGATTATCTGTGATTTATAAATCGTGAAAGAATCATTGATCGAAAAGAAACGGGCCATATCGTTGGAACGAATCCGACGTCCCTTCGTTGATCGCAATTTCGTTGTTATTTTTTTTTTCTCTCTCTCTCTCTTTCACTCTTTCCCCTTTCTCCGGCAACGAGCACACGAGAAATGTCCCACGCCGTCCGCTCCGCTTTCGTTTAGTCACGGGCCATCGTGCGGAAATCACAGCCGTCGAGGGTGGTGTAATCGTTTATCGATTCTACGCTCCAGAAGAGAGAGAGAGAGAGAGAGAGAGAGAGAGAGAGCGCAAGAGACGACGACAACAACGACGACGACGACGAGGAGAAGGACAAGTTCGACGGGAGAAGTGTTATATTTCTTTTTTTTTCTCTCTCTCTCTTTCGTTCAACAACGTCGATCGTCTTTAAAGATCGAGAAAAACAATCTGCGAAACAACGCGAAGACGCTCGATGTTTTCCTATTTTCTATCTTCTCGATTTATTTCTTATTTTTCTCACGCGCATATATGCACATACGTATGTATATATGTCATTCCAAAAAAGAAAGAAAATATTTCATCGTATCATTGACAAAATTATGGTTTAATTTTAGTACGTGCGCGTTGTCCTTCTTCTTTACATGATACGACGATGTTGTGGTGATGGTGGTGATGGTGATAGTGATGGTGGTGGTGATGGTCGCTGAAAGTAGCACCTTTGTAACTCGCGTTGTACCATCCATCGACGTCGCGTGGCCTTCCCTTTGAAGTAGTTTCCAAACCGGAAGGATCGACTTTGTCTCTCTTCCCTTCGGTCGAATCGTCTTTATTGGGAAGAAAAAAAGAAAAGAAATAAAGAAGAAGAAGAAGAAATATAAACGAATAAATAAATAAAAGGAAATATAAAAATTAAGGTGAAAGGAAGGGAAAAAAAGAAGGAGGATAAATTTAAACGGAAAGAGAAAGAAAATATAAATTCGTCTACGGTTAGTGGTGATAACTCTTTCGCGATAGTAATTTTCTTTCCCATTTTTCACCCGTATGAAAGTGAACGGTGAAAGATCAGCTCGATGTGCGATCCCACGGCTTTATTGGATCTAGTGCCGAGCGAAGGATTACTCAAGAGGCCCTCCATGGATTACAACGAGTATACGTACTGCTATGGTGGTGGTCGAGGTGGGTGGTATTTCTCTTCCTCTCTCATTCTGACCAACTTATACGAGCGCGCTATACTACTTTACCATTTCTCCCTTGGCAACTCGCGTTCTTTTCCTTTTTCTTTTTTTTTTTCATTTCTTTTTTTTTTCTTCTTTCATCTTCTTTTTCTCTTTTATCTTTTTCTTTTCTTTCTTTCTTTTTTTTTTTTTTCTTGCATCAACTAACATCAACAAAACTCTCCCATTTCTGCTTATCCAATCCCCGATATTTTTCGATCTATAATTCATTTTTATTATATAAAACAATGAAAGAGTGGGTAGGTGGGGAAGGGGTGGAAAATGGAAGAGAAAATTTCACGAGAGAATCGTTAAAGATTCGAACCTTCACTGTTTTCGTTTTCCTTTAAAAATGAGAAACAACGTGAACGAAATAGGAAAGAAGAAAAGAAGAAAAGGAGAGGAAAAAAAAAAGAAAAGAAATAAGAAGTAACAAGAAAGAAGAAAGAAGTAGAAGTAGAAGTAGAAGAAGAAGAAGAAGAAGAAAAAGGGGATTACATCCCTCTCGGTCGATGTCACGCGAGAAGCGTACATTATCGCGCCAGGCGTATTTGTCAGGGATGACATTTCGAAATCACACCGGGTGAAACTTTTTACGCACAGGAAGGGCGCGTCTCGTCGGGATGCCACGGTGAAATGGAAATGGTGAACGATTTTCGGGGGTTGAGTAACGTTGGGATGAGTGGGGAGTGGGTGGAGGGTTCATAGGGTTGGATAGGGAGATAGGAAAGGGAGGGAAAAAAAATCTTTCTCACTTTACGAACGAAATAGAGAGACGTATATCTAAAAAAAAAAAAAAAAAAAAAAAAAATATTCGTATCATTAACCATGTATTCACGGCCTACGGTTATGTATTATTATTAAATATTTTTATTACTATTTCTTATATCTTTTTTCTTCTTCTTCTGTTATTGTTTTATTTTTCATTCTCTACAAAGAAACAATGTAAATGTAGCGAAGAACGATGACGAATAAGAGAGGTTTAGAGATTAAAAACACTAACATAAAGTAGCACTAATAAGGATATAACGATAAACATAAATTTGTCGTACATTGCATATGAATTAAGATAACTATCTTGCTCTTCCACTCTCGATATATATACATATATATATATATATATTTTTTTTTTGTTTTTCTTTTTTATTTTGCGCTTGTTCGAGTTCGACAAGCGTGTATATACGTATATATACTTATTACATAGTTACACGTACAAATAAACAAACGAGATCGACCAGTGCTATAAATTGGCAAACTTGCGCGGAATCTAACGACTATTACTAGTCAGTAGAATTTCTCAAGAGAAAAGCCACGTTTTCAACGCGAATCAATCGCGAATGGCAAACACTTTCACCGTTGAACGAACCTAAAGGAAGAACAAGAAGAAAAAGGTGGAGAAATAGAAGAAAGAGAAAAGAGACACAAGGCCATGCGGTTATCTTGCGTTTACTTTATTCTTCTTTTTCATCTTCTTCTTCTTCATCTTCTTCTTCTTCTTCTTCTTCTTCTTCTTCTTCTTCTTCTTCTTCTTCTTCTTCGTCGAGAGTATCCGTTCGCGATCGAAGAGAATTCTTCTGCGTTGAAGATTGGATACTAGCGACGTTGAGAGGGAGGCGAGATTTAACGTTCTTCCTATAGAAAGAACGAAGAAAGAAAAAGGATAGAAAAAGAGAAAGGAGATAGTGCGATAGCAGTCTCTCCCCGATCTCTACGTCACGATAAAGGATTTATTTTAGGGAAGGGAATCGATCGTTCGGAAAGGAACACTTTCGCCTCCTTCTAAGAAGGAGGATGAGAAAGACGAGAGGAAGCAATAGTAATACTATAGAAGTAATAGTAGTAGTAATAGTAGTGGTAGTAGTAGTAATACTGATACTAGTAGAAAAGAGGAGGAACGAAGCATGTGCCACGATGAGTGCTCGTGTTCGAAGAGAAAAGAAGGGAAAAGAGGAAGAAGTGAAGAGGCACTCGCTTACATTACCACGTCGTACGTGTATTTATCACTCTGACATTTCCAAATGTCGCGCGGTTTATCAGGTAAACTCCCTGCGGTAACCTTAAGGCTCGTTCGCACGCACTTACACGCGAGACCGCAACGATCGAGCCGGATTTTACGTTTCGTAAACTTCTCTCTGGCAATGTTTTCTTATTTGATATCTCTACTCTTCCTCCCTCTCTGTGTCTCTCTACCTCTCTTTTGTTGTTTCTAAATTTGCATAATAGAAATGCCATGAATGGTTATATCACATATTCTTGATCTTTTATATATAAGTAAATATAGAATTGATAATATTCATTGATAAAATTCATTATCATATATGATCTCTTTTTTAAAAAGTTTATATTATAATATCGAATTATTTTTTATTATCTTTAACGTCTTAAATCTAAATTTAATTGCAAAGTTACTCGTCTATATAGGAACTTAAACGTTCTAGAATTTCCTTCCCTTCTTTAGGTAAAGATCGTTGAAAAGGAATTGCTGTGGTTCAGGTTTAGTTTCTATCCAGAATCAAAGCAGAAGTCGAGGAAGTGTTTCCTTTCTGTACATCCCCTTTCGTCTCAACTTCTCCTACTATCGTCCCTTCTCTCGCAACGTAGCTCATTAAACTTATTCACTTTAACTACATTCAAGTTTCGAGATAGGTGCCCCTCGATGCACCAGTCAGTCCTACGTGCCTGAATTGCATCGTAACGATCCTTCGAAACGACCGGGAGATACCAAACTCCCCACCACCCCCCTCTCTCTCTCTCTCTCTCTCTCTCTCTCTCTCTCTTCTTGCACACCCCTTCCGGTTTCCGGCGCGCCGCAAATTTTCGCACTCCTTCCATCGCCATCTTTTCCGCGAGAATTGCAAATAGGATAGGCGTCCGATCGATCGTTCCTAATCCTGAAGATCAACTTTAGCTCTTTTACGTAGTCTATCGTAATTTAAATTATCTGCACCTTATTAGTCAGTTTTAAATTTCAAGTACACTGTCGTGTTCTTCTCCTTTTTTTTTTTTTTTTTTTTTTTTACAGTCACACCAATACTTCATAATTTTGAATATATTACGTGTATTGACTTTTTTCTTTTTTTGTTATTTCTAACAACGAAGTGGATCTTTCTTTTGTTTTTTTTTTTTTTTATTAAAAGCTTCTGATAAATTAACGCAAACTTTGAAACGACATCGACGATAATAAAATTATTCTATATCGATGCTGAATAATTTGGGATTGACGTAGGATGGAATAAAGGGAAAATACAAAAAAAAAAAAAAAAAAAAAAAAAAAAAAAAAAAAGAAAGAAAAATATAAAAAGCAAACGAGGAAAAGAAGATAGAAAGATAAGATTAATTAAGAAATTACTAGACATCCTTTGATACTGCTATCCTACCGACGAGAGAAGAGTATCTAAAGAAGATCTAAAGGATCGAAAGGAAGGAAAAGTGAGATGCTGTGTTGGGTTCGAGTCGAACACGGTGTAACACCGGGCATCGTTCGAGCTACTCGTAATAACCCCCCACAGCGGTACCTATTACCGCCTCCGAAGCTAAAATACCAATATAACGAGGGCAGCCTTCTTGAATTACGCGGCAGGCTGCTCTATCGAGATTAACGTCTCGTAATAACAAGCGGACGAAGGATAAGGTACGAGGGAACGCTTCGAGGGAAGAAACGATCGGAGCGACCACCGTCTAGTCGCTTTCTGCTATGGCCTTTGCTTGAGAAAGAGAAAGATAGAAATAGATAGAAAGAGAAAGCAAGAGAGAAAGAGAGAGAGAGAGTGAGAGAGAGAGAGAGAGAGGGAAGGAAGGAAGGAAGGAAGGAGACAGAGACAGACAGGCAGAGAAAGAGAGAGAGAGAACAACGTAGCTTCGATTCTCATTAGAGGCACGTGCGTGGTTATCGGTTGCTCGTCTACGTCGACCCATAGACCAGCTCTCTGGAATCTAATTGCTGGCGAACTTGGCTTAGGATCGAAGGCTTCTCTCTCTATCTCTCTCTCCTCCCCACAAACATCCCTCTAACCCATCTCTCTTTCTTCCTCCAACCTATCTTATCTTTCTTCTTACATATCTCTCTTTCTCTCTTTCTCTCTTTCTTTCTCTTTTTCTCTTTCTCTTTCTCTTTCTCTTTCTTTCTTTCTTTCTTTCTTTCTTTCTTTCTTTCTTTTTAGTGGACCGTAACATTTACAAGAAAACTGTGACGAAGTAATTACTGTCAGATCGATCGACAATGAATCGAGTGTAAATATATATATATATATTTTTTTTTTTTCTTTTTTTTTTTTTTTTTCAAACATGAAAATAAACTGATCGATTATAATTGTATTAATAAGCGATCGATATATAGAATTGGTAAAAATATACAAATTTTCTTTTCATTAATGTAGATAGATATAAAAATCGTCGAACACTTTTATCTTTCTTTTCCTTTTATTTTATTGTTGTTGTTGTTGGTTGTTTACCGTATTTTTCTTTTCTTTCTTTTTTTCTTTTTAACAAAAAGTTTCTCCTCTCAAATTTTCATTTCAATGTTAACACGTTCCGTGCCATGTGTACCGCCAGTGGTACACGTTAAACTTGATCTTCGAGGCCACGTGTACCACCGGTGGTACACGCTGTCATTTTTTTTTCTTTAATCAAAATATCAAATGGCCTGAACGACAAATCAGGCAAAAATGGCTTGGCACGGAACGTCTTAATCCTCTATGGATCGAATTTTTGTTTTAAATTAATCGTAATTTTTCTTCATACGCCATTTCATGAAAAAAGCTATAATAATTTGGTAAAATCTCGATAAATTAAAATGTAATCTGAACGTTACATGGGCCTATAGAGAGTTAACAACGAATTATTCAGCAACACAATATTATCAATATATCTTGATCTTCGAGGCCACGTGTACCACCGGTGGTACACGCTGTCATTTTTTTTCTTTAAACAAAATATCAAATGGCCTGAACGACAAATCAGGCA